TGTTGTGGCATCAGCTTAGCTCACAGCAACCTCAAACTCTTAGGCTCAAGTGATCCTCCTGCCTCAGCCTCCTGAGTAGCTGGGATTGTAGGGGCCCACCACCACATCTTGCTAGTTCTTTTATGTTTAGTAGAGACAGGGTCTCACTCTTGCTCAGGCTGATTATGAACTCCTGTGCGCAAGCGATCCACTCACTTCAGCCTCCCAGAGTGCTGGGATTCCAGCAGGAGCTAAGTGACTACATTATCACTTGGAAAATCATTCATGGGTTGGTTTGTGCTTCTGGGCAGAATTCAACATTCACCTTGCTATTGATTTGGTGTCTTTTCTGCAGAAATGTCTGAATTTCTTTCCTTTTTTTTTTTTGAGACAGACTTTTATTTTGTCGCCCTCAGTAGAGTACCATGGTGTCACAGCTCACAACAACCTCAAACTCAAGTGATTCTCTTGCCTCCGCCTCCCAAGTAGCTGGGACTACAGGCGCCCACTACAACACCCGGATAATTTTAGAGATGGGAGTGGGTAGGTGGAGGAGTCTCACTCTGGCTCAGATGGTCTCAAATTTGTGAGCTCAGGCAATACACCCACCTCAGCCTCCCAAGTGCTGGGATTACAGGTGTGAGCCACCTTGCCTGGTCCTGAAATGTCTGAATTTCACAAATTCAATCCCAAGCCATGGCTTGAAGTGAGTTTCCTATGTCAGATACTGAGACAGATGGTTTCCATCGACACACGTGATCACTGGTGCTTGCTCTGCCAGTCACAGGGGCGCAGGACTGTGCTGTGACACAGGGACTATCCAAACGAAAACCTAGGTTAGTGCACAGTTTGTCTTCTGGGTTATTCCTGGGCTTAGTGCTCCTGAGTCACAGCTGGGGCCTCCAGGTCCGCTGTGGAAGTGTCCGGGGCAGGTTTCTTTGAGTAATCCCGCTCTCCAAAAATGGTGCTTCCTACTCGGACATTTGTGGATCCTACTTCAATCTAGGAGAAAGGATAGAGAACTAGTTTAAAATAATGAAATGGAACAGTGCTGAGGCTGTGCCTCATTCCGGCTCTCAGAGGCTTCGTGAAGAATGACACAGCTGAAGATGACCTACGGACAGTGGTTCTCCTTGGGGCAATATTACTGAGGGGTGTTCAGGAGACAAGGTGGGGTTTCTTCGGTTTTACAGATATTGGGGAACACGAGGGTCCTTCAGCTGGGTAGGCACCAGGGGATGTCAGACGTCCACAGTGTGTGGCACAAGGCCGGACGGCAGACAGCCTTCTCACAGCCCACACACCTTTCCAATATTCCATGCACAGGTAGATGAAAAAAGTCTTTTTTTTTTTTTTTTTTTTT